AAGCCGTCTCCAGCCATTATTAGTCTCAAAGTGGGTTCCTCGTCATCGAATCTACAAATGTTATTCTAAACCAGCAACTCCTTACCATACTCACAAAACCACATACAATATATGTAAAATAGGACACTTTACTATAATTTGGAATATTGGAAACATACGGTCGAAAGTGTTAGTTTAAAATCATTACTTATCTAAAATGTAAGTAAGGATTTTATAGTGCATAACAGTTTTTTACTGTCTAAATAATATATACAATTTGTTGCATATTTTACTGACTTTTAGCCCTTAATTTTTATAAAATTATATGACACAATCTAGGGTAGTTCGAACCACATCAACGTCTGCCACTGAGCTTTAAAACAGATCCACCGGAAAAAGATATTTAATATGAGTTTGTCATGTTTAAAACCCTATGTTAAGGTCATTCACTAAAGTTCTTTTTCTCACCTGCATTTATTAAAATAATTCGTAATACGTTAAAGTGATTCAGCGAGAAATTAAAAGAAAACAAAACAAAAAACTGAATAAGATATGATCCACATAGACAGGATGAAACTTGAAATTTTGATATTGTTTAAATTTTGTATTATCACTTTCAGAAATCCCAAGTATCACTTGATAATTAGCCACTTTTTGGATCTGTCAGGGGTTTTTATGTAATTTTCTGAATGAACTAATTTAGTGATTAGATAACAAAACTATATTTTAGTAATGAGGAATGAAAGAATATTAATGAAGTCACTCGAGAGCAGATCAAAACAAACCGAAATTTCAGATTATTTAAAATATATATATATAATTTTTTCTAGAAGTATTTACTAACCCATGCTAATATGTTATATATAAAAATGAAATTGTCTTCCATTTTAAGCTGTTTCTCCCAGTTTATACTTTCCTTACAGCGCTAACTATTTGCAAGTGCAACTTACTGATACAATAATCACGAAGTATTACGACCAGTTCTAGAGCTGAATCATGATGATAAGGGAGTTAGAGCCAAGTAAAAATGTAGAAAACCTATATAACTGCAATTCTATAATCTTCATTTGTTACCTATAGATAGATAGCACCTATACAGTCTGAGTTATTCCATTAAGCTCACGATGTTGACTAACTGATTATTAGTGACCTACCTGTTGTTAGGTTTCATTGAGGAAATTTTAACTATTTTGATGAAAACATTGAAAGCATTGTTTTTGTGACCCAGCCTATTTTCCCTTTGTCTTAAACCTTACATCTCCAGAGATAATCAACTTATTTTCTTTTGTAACAGAACCTAACCGACCTCTAATGGAGACATGCAAATACCAACGGATAACTCTAGGTTATAGTAGGAAATTATTCAAAACGTAATAATTAGGTTCTCTAATAAATACAAAAGTGTAACAAAACATAGGATTCTAGCTTATACATTAGTTTCAGTTCTTTATTGAAATTAGTGATAACAAGCTTCAAACGAATGACGCCCCCCAATGGCACAGTGGTTTGTCTGCGGACTTACAACGCTAGAAACCGGATTTCGATACTTGTGGTGGGCAGAGCACAGATAGCCTATTGTATAGATTTGTGCTTAACTTCAAACAACAACAAGCAAATGACAGTATAAAATTAATTAATTAATCGATCCAAAAATCAATTTCCCGGCGGCAGTGGGTGTTACCTTCCGTTTGGTCAGTAGTTCGAAATCAGGAAAGGTTATACCTGGATCCTAGGAGCCTCTGACCTGGCCGTTAGTAACCAATGTTGTGTGATGTTAACTAGCTACCTTCTTCAAAATTTGGAATGGATAGCGAATTTAACCCTTGAATAGCTTTTCGCGAAATTCGACAAACAACAACAATATATTTATTTATAACTGGCGCCTTAACATTTCAGGACTTATAACGCTTTTTATAATATATAGTTAGGTGCACTTGCATTTCAGATGTGTTAACTAACTTGACTTTTATCTTTGCCGACAAAGTTCACGTTCTGTTCCTTTATTTATATTTTCACAATTGAAGATCTCTTGCAGCTCGCTTATCTTCTGTTTAAGAGTTGGTTTTCTTAACTTATTATTGACAAGAGATTTAGCATTATAAAGTGAAATTCTTTCCGGAAATGGAGAATGACTTTAGAATTTTAGACGCTAGGTGTTGCACTAAGAAGTGACAGTACGTGACCGATTTGTCATCGAGCGTTCGAAGTAGTTTTTGAGCTTGAATTGATAGTTTGTTTAAAAACTTTTGCGAGGTACGTAATTAAACTATATACAGATCTTTAATATTTATAAGAAGTATATTCTTACAGTTTGTTAATTTTCTAAGGTATTGTATATTCTTTTCTCACGTCAAGTGTTGTTAATATTATTATTATTATAGTAGTTTAGTTCTGCCTTCTGGTGGTATTTTGAGTGGTCACAGTTGACAAAATATTTATATGGTTATTAATGGAAATGCCGACGCTGTTTTAATATAAATTAGTACTATAGCAGCATCATGGATCACTGCCCTAGAATTCACTTATCAGGGTGAAGATCTGTTTTTGTCAGGTAAGTAAAAAGATTAATAAAACTAAAACGAAAAGTAAAATCAGATACGTGTCAGAATTTTGGTCTGATCAACTATCAGCATCAAGCTGTTGCAGAGCATCATGAAATGCTTAAGTTGTTTTCCCGGCGAAATCAATAATTTTGAATTAATTTCATACACTTCACTTAATGCAAATATTTATGGAGGATTTTTCAGTATGTTGGAATTTGTTTATTTTTTAGCAGTTAATTTTACATTCATTTTTCCTTCAGTTTATAAAGTTTTACTCCCCTCTTCCCCCACAGGTACACACACTCTTTTTAATTGGTTTGAAGTTGTTATGTTTTATTACTTTATGTGTATTTTGAACTTATTTCAGCAATTTGTTGCACAGGTTTTAAAGTTTACATTTTTTGTCACATAAAATTGAAATTGGATGTGTTATCTAATTGATTTTATAGCATCTTCATCTATTTTATGGAATACTTAAAGTTTTAAATAAATATTTCAGGTGATGCCAAATTATCTAACTGTTATTATTCTTGTATAAACTATAAAACTTTCAGAGTGAGTGTGTTAATATAGTCTATATGGTATGAATGATTTCTGTTGACTTATTTTCTTTGTTTTGTTTAATTAACTTAAAGTTGTTGGTTCCATAATCTGAAGAAAGGCTCAACACAAAAGACAAAGAAAAAAAAAATTGGAAAAAATCCTGAAAATTACAATTGAAAAGATGATGGGACAACTGAACTCTGTTGATTCAGACTATTAGAGAGTTATCAGAAGAGTTTCAATTGTCCAGAGTTAAAAATTGTTAATAAGTCTCAATGAAAAGTGTTATTTAATATACATAAAGCAATACTGGTGGACTCCACATATTTCATGCCTCAGCATATACATGTAAGCAGATAAAAAAACTTACATTTTAGCACACTATCATTGAATTTCATCAAGTGTTTCATCCTACTAGCTCATTTCATCTTAATTGTACTAATGGACATATAGGTCTGGTTAATTTCATTAGTTTAAAGTTTTTCAGTACATGATAACTCCCTTTTACAGATAGTTACTTACAATGATAAAAGTTTCAATATTGGATTTCATCATAAGCCTCTCTACACAGTTGTATAAACATGGTACCCAGTTTTGTAGTTGAATTTAATTACAAAACTTATTTACAGAACATACAGAATTACTAGTCATAAATTGTTTCATAAAATGAGATAGAAAGAATTAGAGAAATGAATTTCCTACTTCTATTATTTATAGATGTAGATGAGATGAACTTATAGCTACTATCCATCAAATTTCCCATCTTGGTGTTCTAAAAAAACATTGATTACTCTTGTGTTACTGTAACTTTAATATTAAAAATGAACTTTGATATAAAAAATGACAAAGTATTATTAACTTATCTCCTGTGATCAAATGGTTTTAAAAAACTATCAGGGAATTTCACTTAATCACAACTTTGATGAAAAGAAAAGCTAGCCATTGGTTTTGATAACTTTGAACCTTATTGATTCCAGGAAGCTGATCTTACTTTCACCATCAAGAACAATACTTTTAGAGCACAAAGATATCACATTAAGCCATTCAAAACCTAAAATAAAATGCTAAGACTAATTCACTCTACAAATCCATTGTTTCTTATAAACATGTATGTAATGATTTGTTGTTGAAGCTAGATGTAACGATATTTTGGTCAAATTCTATCTTTTAAACTTACTGAAAACTCAAAATTATCTTTTATTGTAACTTAATTTTTCTAAAAGGCTCAAGGAATTGTGCTAAAAGTCTAGGTAAATTACAAGTTCTTAACTTAGAAATTGTTAGTAAATCTTCTTTAAAAACTGTCCTAAATAACAGGCTTAGTTATAATTATAAGCCCCTACTTATACAGTAAAATATATCAATCTTACAGGATACCAGTCATTACATATCATTGGCAGTCTGTGTAAGAACTCACATTTGATCCATGAATTTAATTTATTTGTGTGTCTATTCTGTGGTATGGTATATGTGGTAGTTACCCAATGTCTATCCATGCACACAACACGGCACTAACAGTGAAGTTTGGAGAACACATCACATAACAGTTTTTAATGCCAACAGTAATTCCAGTCATTTTAATAGAGCTCAAAATCAACAACAACTCAAAATAATTTGAAAGTCTTGTAATAACTGTGACTTGACATAAAGTTTAAAATATCATTAAAAACAAACTTTCAGAAAAAAATTAAAACTATATAATGTCTACACAGACTGCAAATGTTTAGAAAATTTAGCAAACTGACTTGGACTACTGTCATTGAAACTAGTTGAAATAACTAAAAACAGAGTTGAGAATAAATAATTTATTAAAAACTACACTATTACCATTAGTAATTGATCTTTTTTCTCTCTAGATTTTAGTAGGATATTTAATTTGTAAAATTCATTAAAATTGCTGTAGTGTATAACCTTTACGAACTGATTTTCTTTCTCTCTAGGTTTTAGTAGGATATTTCATTTCTAAAATTCAATAAAATTGTTGTAGTGTATAACATTTACTAACTGATTTTCTTTCTCTCTAGTTTCAGTACAATGTCATTTCTAAAATTCATTAAAAGTGCCATAACAGGAAGTGAAGAACCAAAGTTTGAAGTTGTTAACAAATGTGACGTGAGTAATTTAAGTTTCTTATCCTTATCTGTGTACTACAAATATGTGTGTACTACAAATATGTGTGTAGTACAAATATGTGTGTACTACAGATATGTGTGTACTACAGTATCTGTGTACTACAAATATGTGTGTACTACAAATATGTGTGTAGTACAAATATGTGTGTAGTACAAATATGTGTGTGTACTACAAATATGTGTGTACTACAAATATCTGTGTACTACAGTATCTGTGTACTACAAATATGTGTGTACTACAAATATGTGTGTAGTACAAATATCTGTGTACTACAAATATGTGTGTAGTACAGTATGTGGCATGGAACATTGTTGGTACTGGTTATGTATGTACTACTATATGTGGCATGGAACATTGTTGGTATTGGTTATGTGTACCACATAACCAATACCAACAATGTTCCATGTCACATACAGTAGTACACATAACCAATACCAACAATGTTCCATGCCACATACTGTAGTACACACATAACCAATACCAACAATGTTCCATGATTGGTTTTTCTCTGTATATACTTATTCATGAGTCTGAAGAGTAAATTTTAGAGGCTAACATTGGTGAAAGAGCGTAATGTTAAAAATGTTCCCACAGTTTTTTATTGTAGTTATAGAAGGTGCTTTTTATTTTTGAATCAAATACTTAGTTTTTCTAAAAGAAACTCAAGCATTTGTTTCTTTTGTGTATTATTTCATAGAGAGTTTCTAAAGTAATAATTGCTTTCACTTTTAACAGGATTTTGAGATTAGATCTTACCCAGAAACACAGTGGTTAACACTGAAGTTGTCTGGTAAATTACCTGATGAGTTTGGACGAGAAGATTTTCACCGGCTGTTTGGTTACATTAATGGGCAGAATGAATCTGGTAATATTCTCTTTTCTTACCACTTAGTTCTGCAGTTAAAAATCCAGTAGTAATGAACCAATATTTTTCTTTTTATTGAATCTAAGTTTCAAATGGACAGCAATTGCCTGTTGTAGAAACTTAGATTCATTATGAATACTCTGCCTAAACAACCTATCAAAGATTTTTGTTCATATTTTAAAAATTCAGTAGTAATGAACCAATATTTTTCTTCATATTTTAAAAATCCAGTAGTAATAAACCAATATTTTTCTTCACATTTTAAAAATCCAGTAGTAATGAACCAATATTTTTCTTCATATTTTATAAATCC